GGGGGGGGGGGGGGGGGGGCGAAGTACCAAAAATTATTCGCGAAAGGGAAAATTAAATGGAAAAAATTCATGCACGCCAATTAACCCTAAAAAATATTCATGCTACGGCCTAAAACTGAAATTCATACAAGGAATTTGAAAACGAAAAAAAATTCCTGCGGCTCAAACATTCCCCACCCCCCACCCCCCCATATAACTTTTGTAATGGTCCGTCCCTAATAGATAAGATTTCTCTTCGTGATCCACAGTGTCCTGCGTTCTTGTAACATTCCGCAAGCGCATCTGCTACTCGGATTGAAGTCAATGGCTTCGTCATTGGTCTGCTGAGCTACTGAATTTGAGATTGAACTAAGGATACCCAGAGTTTTTCAGCGTCTTCTGGCGCAATCTCTCCAAGAGCTGTATCGACCACTTCTTTTGCTGTACCAGTGTGGAATCGTTGAGTTCTATCCGACGCCATATCCCCACACGTTGTCTTGAATGAGGTACAAGTCAGTCGTTTGAAGTAAATGTAAAAAAAAAACTGAATAATAAAATAAAACGACAACAACAAATGCCATCAGAACTGGACTATGATCTTTAAATTTAAAAAGAAATTATTTACTCTGGGGGAAATCGGGTTTAATTTCAAACTAAAAGAAAAACTGAAAGGTTTATTTTATCGGACAGATTACGTGGATTGGTGCCGTACCCGGGAGACTCTAGAGAGTTGACAACTATGATAAACTTTATACAGTATTCGCGAATTGAATCTAAGTGACTTATTAGAATATAATACAGTGAATAAACCAAGAGTAGCTGAACCTACAGAAATGAGGATACCGCTTTGCTGATAGATCATTATATTCTGAAATGTTCTTCCTCTAACTATTTTGTCGGCTTTAACAGGTTTCCCTCTTCTTTCAATTATGTGAGTGGCGCTTTCCTTTGGAACTTGGCTCGAATTGGAATAACTGTTCCGTCGCCATCCAATACCGAGCCCAGAACGATGGAAAGGGCATACATTAAAGGAACTTAGGGCGCTTTCCATTTGTCAGAACTGACAAATTTGACTGATCTAGCTGAAGAGTTTGATTAAAACGGAAATTATCATTGCGACGGGAATGGTCTGGCTGATCATTTCTGAGCTAAAATAAAGTCTGTTACGCTTTCAATACTGGAAAGACACCATTTCGACCTATGCCCAGTTACGTCCTTAATAGTTTGACAACGACAAAGGAACAATCTCAGTTGATCTCTGCTTATCCCTTCTATCAAACGAACACAGAGTACCTACTAATGACTCGAAGGAGCACGAACCTTCCATAGCTTCATCGAAGAAGAGCGCACACAAACAGTGTTTATGCAAAGATCTTTTTCTTTTTCAATTGGGAATGAACGGTTGAATCAAATTAAACTAAATTTAATTCGATAATGTTAATCAAATGCCTAAAATGTCAAAATATTAAAGATAGTTCTCAGGTAAAATAATGTCAACTGGAGTATTTTTGAAGAAGGAGGAGTATAAAAGATGAATCTTCTTCAGTGTACTGGAAGTAACGGGTGAAAGTCGGTGAAGCTCGTCACGTGTATATCACCGGAAGTAGACCCTTGGCACAGTCCTATGCAAATGAGATTAATTGAAGTGAACGGATCCACGAGCAAGCAACTTTGCTTTGTTAAACTACCGAGCTTTATTTTATAGACGGCTTTTTTAACGTCCAGGGTTCTCAAAACTTTTAACAAGCATGAGAGTGTTAACTTGAAAACATTAGAGAAAACAGAGGGATGAAGAAATTACCAGAAAGCTGTCACGCACCTCCAACGCACACATTCCAGCGGACTTCACGACTACGGTAACATAGGTGATAAGACGGCAAAATGAAACAACTTCGAGCTTGAAGTACAACAGATACAGGTTAAGGTGAACTTTTTTAAAAAATGTTCTATATATCAAGGCTACCAGCGTTGTTAACGAAAACCTAACGTCAAATTGTTGGTGGTGGTCGTGTGACTCATGATGGCGTAATTTTATGTTGTCTGTAACACGAATTTCAAATAATTTCTGAGAAGCTCAAAATGATTTCCCCAAAATAATTTTAACATAACATAATAGTTTGATGCTTGTAGTGTTTTCCCCTTCAATCTTGAAAAATTCTGATCAAAGGCACATGATGAAAATCGTCGCCGTTTTCAACGACCCTTCGTGTGTAAACGTCAGGTAGCCGTACGCTTTAGCTTTTTTTATAATTACTCAGAGAAGAGCGATTTTTATTTTTGAGCCTTGCCGCACTTTGGTCGATATTTGCATGGAGTTGCTCTTAAATAAACTCCTGTCTGTGTAGTTTGACCTTTTAACATCCTGTATAGTGTTTTTTTTTTTACTTAAGGAGTACGTTCTTTCAAATTTTAACTCACAAACGCAACAACCTGACACCTGCAATTGCAGAAAGAAACCAGATTGTCTAATCGAAGGAAAATGCCTCCAATCAAATGTAATCTACCAAGCCACTGCAACCACAGCGACGACAACTGAAACTTACGTCGGACTGGCAACAAACTTTAAGGAACGTTACAGAAACCATCAGTCCTCCTTTCGACGCTCGAACAGAAGAAATGAAACGGAACTCTCAAAATATATTTGGACTTTACAAGACTCTAAGAAACCTTTGCGGATAAAATGGAAAGTTTTAAAGAAATGTAAACTCTATAGCAACATTAGCAAAAAATGTAATCGTTGTCTTCATGAAAAGTTCATCATTATTTGTAAAAAAGAGCTTTGTAGCCTAAACAGGCGAAACGAACTAGCGAGTTCATGCCCCCACAGAAACAGATATGTACTTCAGAACTCTAGAGTAACGTAACTAACACACAATCCATCTGTTACCTAATCTCTTAACGCATCCCTATAACAATCACCCAAATTTTACTGCCAGCTTTTAATTTTAACGGTCAATCGTTGAAGTTGCCTGATGAGTGTGGTCCAACAATTTCGGACCATACGAAACAGCGCTGTCGCAATAAACGATCAATTATTACTCCTGAAGCCTGAACCCCTGTGATTATTAATAGTCAATGCTATTCAATTAAATGAATTGAGCGCTCTACGAAATACGTTCTTAACCCAGAATACAAGTAATTATATATGTATGTATGTACGAGGGGTCTTTTTTTTTCAAAACTACGAAACTAAGAACCCTAAATTTACCGCTAAATTTGACCTAAAACTCCTTGGAAAGGATCGGACAGAAGATATTTGACAGATTATACCTTACCTTCGGTCATAATTTGACTTCATACTTCGACGAATTCGAGTTTAGGGGGTCTTCGGTCTTAGTTTTTCTAACACCCGGCCAAAACATCCGCTTAAGGCCTAGAGGCTGGTGAATTCTAGCCCCTGACTCAGGTGGAAAAAATGTCATTTTCTAGCAGTCATAAGAAAAACATAAGTAAACCTTTTATTCAGGTTCGACTGAATTTCACCTAAAACTGCGTGGAAAGGATCGAACAGAAGATAATTTGACAGATTATAACTCAACTTCGGTTTTAACTTAATTTCGTACTTCGACGGATTCGATTTTAGGGGCGTCTAAGTTTTCGTATAATCTGGAAAACTAAGACGGGTCTTTTAGGTCCTCGTTTTCGAGGGTCTTAGTTTTCGTAACACCTTGTTTGTGGCCACGCTTTAGCATACCGTATTTACTCGAATAGGCGCCGCCCTCGATTAAGCACCGCACATGAAGTGGAAAAGTTAATAAGCACCGCCCTTGAATAAGCGCCGCAGCTCCGGTGCGGCGCTTATTTGAGTAAATACGGTGACGTAAGAGTCAATGAGTTACTGATAAAATTATTATTTATTTTAATAGCATTGTGTTCTTGTATAAACGTTATTTACCTCGCAGGTATCTTCTCCCCAATGTAAGGCTCCTGTCTTAGCACTTCCATGATTTTGACCCGTAGAGCTCGGATGTCATCAATGTTTTCATCTTTCCTAAAAACATTTCTGATCTTATTTTGAAGTAATTTCGCCGTGTTGTCAATGCCAAAGATAGACCGCACCACATGTCCTTCATAGTCCTTACCAGCAATTGCGTTCTGGATTTCTGTTTTCATTGTTTCAATATCTTCAAATGATTTGTCTGCATGGGTTCCTACAATGATCACTGGGGGGCGCAAATGAGGCACCTCTTCTTCTACATCATCACAGGTTTCTCTTCTCAGCTGTACGACGGTATGCACTGTGGACAGCCAGGACAACAAGTTCTCAAGATTTGTTTCTCCGTTTGGGTTTTCCAACTCAACATTACGAGACCCTTGCCTCACACAGGGCTTGGCTGTGTCATGCAGTGACTTGCTGAGGTTGCACACCAAGATGTACAGCGCACGTGATGATAAAAATACAGGATGGGATGCATAATACAGGTGTTGTCCAGCAAAATCCCACAGTTCAACACTGACAACAGATTCTTCAGCCTTAAAATCTTCATCTTGTATTTCCTTTATCAACTGAACTGCTCGATTCTTGATCTCCTCTGGAGGTGAAGTAGTATCAACCACTAACTCATGATCAGGTCCTGTTAATGTGGGTTCACTATCACTGTCTTCGTTTGGATCACCAACCTGTAGCAGGTTCGAAAAAAACAACAACAACAAAACAAAATAACTGTTGATTCTGATATTAAAAGACTGAACATATCTGGTTCGATTTTGGGGGTAAAGAGGAATAATGGAGTAAGAATGACGGAAATTTTTTTGTTGTTGGAATAATGGATTAGTGCCATTTTGTGGTGCGGAATAATGAGATCTTTTTACTGAAATAACGACACTTTTCGAGCTGGAATAATGAACACGCGACTATTAAGAGCGGATGTCAGTAAATATCGATTTGAGGTCTACAAAAGTGAAAAATCGAAAATTCTCAAAAAAAATTCACAAAGTAGCACTAGGTAAGCTATTAACATAAATGTAATTTTTAGTTCGATCCGATTATTATTTTTGACGTACGGGAGGATTATTAGTTTCGCGGCTCTCGGACCGGGTTTTACAGGCCCGAGACCATGTGTCGCAAAAAAATCGTTTTAAAAATCAAATCAATTGTAATGCGAAAAACGAATAACGTATTCAAAAAAGTACATAATTGTACAAATTTTAAGTGATGATTTACTCAGTTTGAACGAAAATGTAATATTTTGGAGATTTTTGAATATCATCAATATTTTAAACGTTTTCGTTCGATGAAAAAATGGCAAATTTCAAAGCCCAAAATCGTCGACTGGTACCTCGATTTCAGTAAAGAGTCTTATATCACGTTAAAGAGCATTATCTCTTCTTTCAAAATCTGCTTTCAAAACTATGGGCAACTTAAAAGAAAATTTCTGAGGTCAAAAATTACAAGTAGTACTTTTCTGAAATTTGAGCTTTCCAGACTCAGCGGGCCCATTAGAAAAACTCGGAAAAATACAATAAGAAATCAGTTTGAGCAACAGTGGTTTAATGTTATCAGCTTTCAGAAACCAAGACGTATTTATAAAGCGATCTGATGTACATGTAATCCGTTTGCTATCAAGAAAGGCAGATTTAAGCTGTCAACTCCTGCCAAGGGAGAAACAAGTGACGACCACACCAGTCACGTGAAGTTGTCAAAGGGAGGGCAAAGCATTAATATAACAAAAAAGTCTTTAAATTCAAAACGTTTTACTTCCATGAAATCAGATTTTAGCGTACAAAACAATATTGTGAGTGTCTGTTGTTCGTACCTTAGCATGCATGGTGTTTCCATATATTGGAAATGTCAAGTATCCACACGGGAGAACATATCAACAACAACGTTTCAAATCCAAGCGCGGAAAAATCTCAAACGTCAAAGATTGCGTTACATTTCACAGAACGACCGCTTACCACTGTTGTCACTCCTTGATCGCGCTTCCTTGAAAGTACGACCCCGGACAGATGGTAAGGACGTTTCTCAAGACTCCTGTTGCTTTTTCGGGCTTTAGCAGGGGCGTAGCCAGGATTTTTCCAGGGTACGCCCGACTTTTTCTACATCGTCTCCTCCCAAGTCTCCTCTCAAGGTTTTCTTTTTTGGACTTAAATTAATTCTTTTAATCTGAAAAATGAGAATTATAACAGCATTTCCAGGCATAAAAATTTCGGTGGTGTATCCTTGTCACTTTTCACCCTTTTTGGACCTTTTCTTTTTTTATGAAATTGACCATCATATTTTCGGCGATATTGAGTTTGTGTCGATTTGGTGACCACGTCTTGTTGTTTTCAGGCTCCATGGCAATGGTGCTGGTGTTTCAGGCCTCCTAATCTCAGATTTCTTGTGATTTTTTTTCACCCCACCGACCGACCCAAAACCAGGAAACCTATTCGAAGCTGAACGAATAAAAAGGGGATTGCCTAAGCCTTATGGTTTCTTTTTGGGCTTCCTAACCACATTGCTTCTGGGTATTTCTGTGTACCTGTCTTTTGTTTTGTTTTGTTCTTTTTTTGTCGGTGAAATAAACTGAAACTGAAATTGTTCAAAGACCCTCTACATTCCCTTTGGAGATTCTCAAGCGCGCATAATAAAATGAAAAGCGCGAGGATTTATTTACCGCAAGGGCAATGGGGTAGGGTTAGGGCTCGTTATTGCGCTCCGGTTCACTCGTGCGCTGTCAAATGGTCCTGAAAAACAAGATTACTGAATGGTCGATAAGCACGTAAACAAGAAAAATGCTGGCAAACCCCACTTTTTGATTAATACTCTCCTACACTCACTCGTTGCTCTTACTGCAACCTTCAGTGCTGTGGATTTCTATTGCTACCTTTAATAATGATGCAAAGCTACTGCCAAAGTGAATTTTGCGCGAATTCAGTATTGCGAATGCGACCACGGCTAGGCGGGTTACCCCACCTTGAAACGTTTACGTGGCAAAATTTGACCCCGGCTGAGAGGGTTACCCGGTCTGGCAGACCGGGCTATCCGCCTTGGCGGGTCACCCCACCTATCATGCAAACGTGATCAAATTAAAATGAGAGATTATATGGACAGACGGGTTACCCCACCTTATCGGGTAACCTCACCTACCTGGGGTCCCCCACCTCCATGTAAACAGGCCCTTACGAATGCTCACCGAGATATGATAATTTTGGTACGGTGAAAATAGAAGGGATTCCCGTCACGTAACGTCTAGACCGTGTTGAACACCCTCAGCGCTTTGTATACTGCAGGAGGTACAAGGGCTAGAGAGCGGGAGTTCCGAAACACGATCTAGCACTGTTCTACGTATCGTGCGTGATATCTGTTATTGATTATGCAGCACCTGTCTTTTTCAAAGGTCTCCCCCAGTACTTAAAGAAAGAGCTGGTACGGCTAGAGAAAAGAGCAGTATCAATAATAACCTCAGGAAAGTGCAACTCGGCAATAGAGGTGGGGTTAACACCCATTTTGGAGCATTATTACGTATTATGTAGCAGGCTTTTTGATAACATTGTCAGTGATCCAAATAATACAGGATGGGATGCATAATACAGGTGTTGTCCAGCAAAATCCCACAGTTCAACACTGACAACAGATTCTTCAGCCTTAAAATCTTCATCTTGTATTTCCTTTATCAACTGAACTGCTCGATTCTTGATCTCCTCTGGAGGTGAAGTAGTATCAACCACTAACTCATGATCAGGTCCTGTTAATGTGGGTTCACTATCACTGTCTTCGTTTGGATCACCAACCTGTAGCAGGTTCGAAAAAAACAACAACAACAAAACAAAATAACTGTTGATTCTGATATTAAAAGACTGAACATATCTGGTTCGATTTTGGGGGTAAAGAGGAATAATGGAGTAAGAATGACGGAAATTTTTTTGTTGTTGGAATAATGGATTAGTGCCATTTTGTGGTGCGGAATAATGAGATCTTTTTACTGAAATAACGACACTTTTCGAGCTGGAATAATGAACACGCGACTATTAAGAGCGGATGTCAGTAAATATCGATTTGAGGTCTACAAAAGTGAAAAATCGAAAATTCTCAAAAAAAATTCACAAAGTAGCACTAGGTAAGCTATTAACATAAATGTAATTTTTAGTTCGATCCGATTATTATTTTTGACGTACGGGAGGATTATTAGTTTCGCGGCTCTCGGACCGGGTTTTACAGGCCCGAGACCATGTGTCGCAAAAAAATCGTTTTAAAAATCAAATCAATTGTAATGCGAAAAACGAATAACGTATTCAAAAAAGTACATAATTGTACAAATTTTAAGTGATGATTTACTCAGTTTGAACGAAAATGTAATATTTTGGAGATTTTTGAATATCATCAATATTTTAAACGTTTTCGTTCGATGAAAAAATGGCAAATTTCAAAGCCCAAAATCGTCGACTGGTACCTCGATTTCAGTAAAGAGTCTTATATCACGTTAAAGAGCATTATCTCTTCTTTCAAAATCTGCTTTCAAAACTATGGGCAACTTAAAAGAAAATTTCTGAGGTCAAAAATTACAAGTAGTACTTTTCTGAAATTTGAGCTTTCCAGACTCAGCGGGCCCATTAGAAAAACTCGGAAAAATACAATAAGAAATCAGTTTGAGCAACAGTGGTTTAATGTTATCAGCTTTCAGAAACCAAGACGTATTTATAAAGCGATCTGATGTACATGTAATCCGTTTGCTATCAAGAAAGGCAGATTTAAGCTGTCAACTCCTGCCAAGGGAGAAACAAGTGACGACCACACCAGTCACGTGAAGTTGTCAAAGGGAGGGCAAAGCATTAATATAACAAAAAAGTCTTTAAATTCAAAACGTTTTACTTCCATGAAATCAGATTTGAGCGTACAAAACAATATTGTGAGTGTCTGTTGTTCGTACCTTAGCATGCATGGTGTTTCCATATATTGGAAATGTCAAGTATCCACACGGGAGAACATATCAACAACAACGTTTCAAATCCAAGCGCGGAAAAATCTCAAACGTCAAAGATTGCGTTACATTTCACAGAACGACCGCTTACCACTGTTGTCACTCCTTGATCGCGCTTCCTTGAAAGTACGACCACGGACAGATGGTAAGGACGTTTCTCAAGACTCCTGTTGCTTTTTCGGGCTTTAGCAGGGGCGTAGCCAGGATTTTTCCAGGGTACTCCCGGCTTTTTCTTTTTTTTAATCTGAAAAATGAGAATTATAACAGCATTTCCAGGCATAAAAATTTCGGTGGTGTATCCTTGTCACTTTTCACCCTTTTTGGACCTTTTCTTTTTTTATGAAATTGACCATCATATTTTCGGCGATATTGAGTTTGTGTCGATTTGGTGACCACGTCTTGTTGTTTTCAGGCTCCATGGCAATGGTGCTGGTGTTTCAGGCCTCCTAATCTCAGATTTCTTGTGATTTTTTTCACCCCACCGACCGACCCAAAACCAGGAAACCTATTCGAAGCTGAACGAATAAAAAAGGGGATTGCCTAAGCCTTATGGTTTCTTTTTGGGCTTCCTAACCACATTGCTTCTGGGTATTTCTGTGTACCTGTCTTTTGTTTTGTTTTGTTCTTTTTTTGTCGGTGAAATAAACTGAAACTGAAATTGTTCAAAGACCCTCTACATTCCCTTTGGAGATTCTCAAGCGCGCATAATAAAATGAAAAGCGCGAGGATTTATTTACCGCAAGGGCAATGGGGTAGGGTTAGGGCTCGTTATTGCGCTCCGGTTCACTCGTGCGCTGTCAAATGGTCCTGAAAAACAAGATTACTGAATGGTCGATAAGCACGTAAACAAGAAAAATGCTGGCAAACCCCACTTTTTGATTAATACTCTCCTACACTCACTCGTTGCTCTTACTGCAACCTTCAGTGCTGTGGATTTCTATTGCTACCTTTAATAATGATGCAAAGCTACTGCCAAAGTGAATTTTGCGCGAATTCAGTATTGCGAATGCGACCACGGCTAGGCGGGTTACCCCACCTTGAAACGTTTACGTGGCAAAATTTGACCCCGGCTGAGAGGGTTACCCGGTCTGGCAGACCGGGCTATCCGCCTTGGCGGGTCACCCCACCTATCATGCAAACGTGATCAAATTAAAATGAGAGATTATATGGACAGACGGGTTACCCCACCTTATCGGGTAACCTCACCTACCTGGGGTCCCCCACCTCCATGTAAACAGGCCCTTACGAATGCTCACCGAGATATGATAATTTTGGTACGGTGAAAATAGAAGGGATTCCCGTCACGTAACGTCTAGACCGTGATGAACACCCTCAGCGCTTTGTATACTGCAGGAGGTACAAGGGCTAGAGAGCGGGAGTTCCGAAACACGATCTAGCACTGTTCTACGTATCGTGCGTGATATCTGTTATTGATTATGCAGCACCTGTCTTTTTCAACGGTCTCCCCCAGTACTTAAAGAAAGAGCTGGTACGGCTAGAGAAAAGAGCAGTATCAATAATAACCTCAGGAAAGTGCAACTCGGCAATAGAGGTGGGGTTAACACCCATTTTGGAGCATTATTACGTATTATGTAGCAGGCTTTTTGATAACATTGTCAGTGATCCAAACCATAAATTGAAGGCGCTCCTTCCACCAGACTGTGACAACTCACGCTATAACCTAAGACGACAGCGCCATTTTAATATGCCAAAGCTTTGTACGAACAGAACAAGTAATACTTTTATATATGCGATGTCGAAACAGTCCGGGCTGTAGTTTTATCATCCCACTNAAAGTGCCAGATTGTTACAAAAGTGCCCCACTCGTTACAAAAGTTCCCTATAACGTTACAAAAGTTCCCTGTTGTCGTTACAAAAGTGCCCTAGTGACGTTACAAAAGTTCCCTTGGTTACAAAAGTTCCCCACCTTGGTTACAAAAGTTCCCTATCGCGTTACAAAAGTGCCCTTTTTTCGTTACAAAAGTTCCCGTTCTTATGGCTCTCTCTCTCTCTCTCTCTCTCTCTCTCTCTCTCTCACATATATTTACTCCCATTGCCAAAAATTTTATGCTATATTGTAATTTGACCTATATATTATCCATGCTTTATGTTAGACTTACGATCAAAGTAAAGGTGGGGATACCAGAGAGCTTCAAACAGTAGGATGGTCCCCTTACAAAATAACTGGGTCGAGTCACCTTAAGCTGTTGTTTTCGATTCTTAGTGAAATTTCTGCCCTTGAGGAAATTCACAAAGACAGGAGCAGGTTATCGGCTTTTGACAACAATTTATCTTGTAGGCAGTATGATGTTTGTGTAATTCAGAAAACTGCTGACGAAAATAAAGCTCCTTTTCCGGGCTCTTCACAAAGGAAAGACACACTACCAACTCCACGGTATTGCCAGTGCTGAAAACGACTTTGGGGGAACGTCCCCAGAAATGAACCTTTACAACTTTTTACGAAACGGTATAAATTAAGACAAACAAACAAACAAAAAAGACTCTGAGATAACACACAAAACAGATTGACAACGCTCCTTGAATAAGACGCTAAATACACCATTCATAAGAGCATGTCTTAAGTTAGGGCCTGTTTACATGGAGTTGGGGGACCCCAGGTAGGTGAGATAACCCGCTTAGGTCGGGTAAAAATATCCCTCCTTTACATGCAATCTTACAACCCCGCCATCCCAGGGTGCACTTTCTCAAGATTATTGAATGGTCGCTAGGCACGTTAACAAGAAAAATGCTGGAAAACCACGTGTTTTGGCGATTAATACTATTCAACACTCACTTGCTGCTCTTCCTGCAACCTTCAGTGCTGTGGCTTTCTGTTGTTACCTCAGTTAATAATGGTGCAAGGCCAAAGTGATTTTTGCACGAATTGGATGTATCACGAATCCGACCCCGGCTAGGCGGGTTAACCGACCTTGAAACGTTTACATTAAAAGAAATCACAATTTTATTTTCTACACACTGACAAAAATTGTGAAAATCAGGAGAAGAAGATTGACAGACAGTTGGTTTTGAGCAGGAATTCGTCGAAATACTCAGGGAAGGCTTCTGCTTGGCTACAAATCCGGATTTCTTTTCGGGACTTTCAGAGCTTTACAGGATTTTTTCAAAAACGACGGAAGGGATGCTTGGAAGGGATTTTTATCAATTTTGTTTGTTTATATGTTGCACAGAAGACCACACCTGCACGGTCGTAAGCAATGGCACACGCGTTCTAAGCGCTCGCACCGTTAATTGATGCCAACGGTCATTTATTCGAGTTTTCTTCGTCTCAGCTAGCGTATTATCTATGGACAGGTGGTACAAGCTCTTCTTACCGTAGGACGCGTCATAGCTAAGTAGCGTCTTACTTCAAATGAAACTTGCCATTTGTACGGGAGGTTCACGTTCTACGTAAGACACGTGCATGCTTATCTAAACTAGTGACACTTTTAAACGTAGTAGAAGGTGTCCCTCTTCGGAGTTCGGGTCCATCCTACCCCTAATCCGACATATCGGAAAATTGGGAAATCCCTCAGGTTAGGCAAGAATTCAATAATCCTTCGATAATCATCCATTTATTCACTGCGTGAATTGGGTATTTTTTAGCTTATTTAGAGGAAATACGTTTTGCTTCAAATCCAGAGTGGGCTTTTAAACACATTTTTTAAGCCAAATGGTTTTTGCGTGAATCTGCTTTTTTAAATAAGTTATTTGTTGTCCGCATTACAATGGATTTGAATTTTACAACGATTTTTTTTGGGACACAGGGTCTCGGGCCTGTAAAACCCGGTCCGAGAGCCGCGAAACCAATAACCCCCCGTACGTCGAAAATAATTATCGGATCGAAGTAAAAATTACATTTATGTTAATAGGGGGGTTTAAGAAAACAACGACGGCTACGGCTACGGGACCAGCGAAAAGCCAATAGGTTTAGATTAGCAAAACAACAACCTTGCACGTGCATCACGCTTTTTTGTACCTTTCTTAGCCGTCATAGCACGACTACAACCGCGTGAAAGCGCCTATTTTCGCGTTTTGTCGAGGACGGGAACACAAGACGACAACTTTCTTTTTTTTTTCATGAACTTTAATAAAATCCTTCAGTACTCAACGCCAAAAAAAAATTGCCCTCATATGACAAATTAAACGAGATGGAATAAGCGCGGTAAAGATAGAGGCAGTGCGAATTCACTTCTTAATTGCTGTTCCCGTAGCCTTTGCCGTCGTTGTTGCTTGAACTCCCTAATAGCTTACCTAGTGCTACTTCAGTTGTGAATTTTTTTGGAGAATTTTCGATTTTTCACTTTTGTAGACCTTAGGTCGATATTTACTGACATCCGCTCTTAATTTGTTATTAATGACAGAGCATTTTTTATAAGCTCAAACAACGAGGCACGATTATTGCAATTTTTAAGGAACAGTGAGTTTAAGAACACATAGAAAAATAATGTCTGATTGAGTCCCTTCCCCCCTTGGCTTTACTCCTCGCATAAAAAAGAAAACAACTTGATATAGAAATTGTGATTAACAACAAAATACGTGAAAGCTACACTCAAGGCCTAAATTACACTTAACAATACAAATAAAGAAACGGCTATTAAGGATATACTCACCTTGGTTTGCACACGCGCACTAATGACCCAAAGGCTTAGCTTACGTGTAGATGGGTACAACCACGGAAATATAACAAAATGGCTGATAGTAGTAACATTCTACACTCGGAACTAAACTTCCTAGTATAAAAAAACCCTAAATTCGTAACCAGAAACGTGCTGCAAAACGATCTGACAATTGGTACATATTTTCCATACGAACACTAGCAAAAGAATGGGAGGCCGTGGTGCGTTTCTCACTATTCTTCTAACAACGGATTCACGAAAAAACATCACATTTCACAAAAAACAAAGACAAACCTCATTTACAAGAGAAACTTCTTCCTTTGCTCCATCAGTACCAACTTGTTTCCTATTCTTGTTATCATCATTTTTAAGTATTGCTTCACCTCCTTTCTCCTCCTGAACCCAGTCCTGGTTAACTGAAATATCATGCATCTTTTCCACCATCACCTGTGCCACATCTCTCGAACACCCCAGCAATCCTTGTTTTCTCTCATCAATAGGTTTCCAATTCCTGACTTCATCAACGTTCAACTGAAATTTTGAAGGATCCACCTCAATTCCATCAGTACTTTTTTCTTTGGGATCAAATGGTAGACCAATGAGAGATTTCTTTAAACTTGTTTTCCCTGCCCGATCCTGCCCGATAAGCAATACTCGACCACGGTAAACATTAACAGCTCCATATTTAAGAGCACTTTGATAAGCGAGCTGTGCTTTTTCCCCGCGTGCTTCTATTTCTACGGGAACTAGTGAAAAAAAAAAGAATGCTTATTCAAGGAAAGTAATGTCTTACAGGTTGCGTAGTTCATTGGCTTCTAGTTCACTTGACGGACCTAGGAGGGTCATGGGGGGCTACATCAGTGTTTATTGTCCTTCTTGTTATCTTTCAGTACGGTCTCTTAAGTTATTATTAAAACAAATCTATGGTAAACGTAATTTTACTGAATTTCAAATGTCACAGATAAAATTAAATGCTGGTTATTTTTGATACTGTTAAACAATCTACCTGCTATTTTAAACTTGTTTTTTTTTTTACTGAACTTACTTCAAGTCTCCATGCATGTTCAAAACTCCATGAATGGTACTTAAAAATTAGTGTTGTGTTTTGCGTCACCAGAATTATAAGTGTTGTTTGCATTCATGTGAAATGCCTGTCCCTCTAAAAAAAACAATTATTCTGAACATCAACGAACTAACTTCGTTCCAATAAGCGCCTACTCTCTAATAAGCACCCCTATTGCATAAGCACCCTTGTTCCAACCCGGAGGCGGTGGGGGCGAGGGTCCTTCGTTAATTTTTGTTGGGTATGTGCCGCTGGCCTCTCAAAACCCCGACCCCATTATAGTCCATACTGTGGCGATATTATAGACCCCATCTTAGTCACTTTTGGAAAGAAGTAATTTTTGCAATCCCAACTTAGTGAATTTCTCCTTATGCATCTACCTTGTAAAGTCTATTAACGAGAACATCGTAAAATGATCTGCCACATTTTTGTGAAACTTGGTGTGGTGTAAATCTTTCTATTTTTAAATTCCTACATACCTGAATTTTCTGACCCCCAAAAACTTAAAAATGTGCGACCCCGATCAAGTAACTCTTATAAAAATGTGACCCCATAACAGTCAATCCAGTCGTGAAAATGCGGCCCAATCCAGCAGCACATACCCATTAGCCTACTACTAGGAAGTACCCCCCACCCGGGCATTCTAAGCGCCTCGATACCAATAAGCGCCGCTATTCAATTACCGACTATTGTTCCATCCTATCGTGACAAGGTTGACCCTAATTCACGCAACCCAAGTGAACGGCCGCGAACGCTCTCGATTGTTAAAATCAACAAAGGGCCTACAGCACCAAAGATAGTGCTAAAGTGTATGGATTTGAATGCCCGGTGCCTGGCAAAACCTGATGCAGTTCCGGCTCTTTATGCTGAGCTTAGTAACAATAACATTGATACCGTATTTCCTCGAATAATAGACGGCGGCGATGACCATTGTTTTCCAACAAAAAGGAGTCGATTAATCAAGGGGGCGATTATTTCAAATATTGCTCACTGGAGGTCGTGCCCTAAATATTTTGTTTTATTATTCCATTAAACCGACAATTGATAACATCAAATAAACAGAACATGGGATTTTTAAATGTTCCAAATTATTTTGGTTATTTGGTTAAAAAACACTGAAACTTGACAGGGAGGGGATAAAAGAAAGAGAAGATGGCGAGAGGGGTGGGGGTGGGCGATTATTTTAAATACTTCGGTCAAAGGAGGCGATTATTCGAGGGAAGGCTTTTATTCGAGGACTGTTTTGTTTCGGAGTCATGGTTGAGTATGATATTCTTGTCACATTCGAATTGCCCAGAGGGTTATATTATGGTGAGGTGTTGCTACTATTTGTCGGAATGATTGGAAGGGTAAAGCGTTGAATGTCACTGATAACTTGGAATTTGAGTCTTAGTTGGAGACATGTCGCTTTGTAGACATGACGACCTCGTATAGCAGACGAGAATTCGCCTTCATAAACAAGCTTCGAACTCCAAAACAAGGTATTGTCAGGATAAGCCATGATCGTAGACGTTTGCTAATTCTTGCTCCTAAGGTGCAAGTTAGATAAAGCCAGAAAAGTCCAGAAATAAAGTTAAAACACCTCTTCTTGTGTTAGCGAGTTAAACATGCTCACTGTTTTTTCGGCTTTATGACTGAAAAATTACGAAAAGTTAGACAACCACGCGAGATGGTGTAACTTGTCCTGATAAATACCGCAGCCAATCGCGTTGCGCGTTGTGACAAATGACCGGCGAAATGAACATTTTACTAGAGGCTGTAGTGAAGGGCCACTACTAGTGCCCAGTTACAATAAGGACGGGTGAATCTTTTGTCCTCGATGAATAAATCGACAATTAATAGGTAAGACTTTTAATTACTAATTCGTAGCCAGTGGTAGCGCAAATTACGTATCTGAAATCATTATTAACGGATTACAATTGACAATCGATAAAATGGATGAAAATTGATGAAATTTGATAAAAATTGATACTCACAACTCTTTCGATCTTCGGTATTTATCGATTACCGATATCAATCGCTTAATTACTATCGTTTAAAATTGAGTAGAATCCATTAATTCGATTAAAGAGTTTCATCGATTTAACACGATGGGTTAAACCCACGCTACTTACGGCAATTATTGCTGTTTTGCTGTTACATTTTGAAACAGGATTATAACATTACTTCCCATCCTCTTACTTTCTAGAGACACTATTTAACTGCATTCATAAAATAGCGAGAATCATTAAACGAAAACACATTCAAAGCGCTTCGTCTCCTAACATTTTTGAACGTGGCGCGCTTTTTAAATTTGAATCCTCTGAGTTCTTCCGAGCTAAATTTAAAAGTGAAAACAGCTAGTAATCGTCGGTATGTCAAAAAACACCTAGAAAAAATCTTCCGCGCAGCAGCAAATCGACCACAGTGAAAACACAGTTTCTCCCGCAGGCGTTTCTAGGGGAGCTCGTATTTCTTCCCTTCCCGAAGAAATACTAGCCTGCGAACAGCAGACGTATTTCCGGTCGTCGCTTCCCTCCCTCCGAAAAATAAAGAAGCGACGACCGGAAATACGTCTGCTGTTCGCAGGCAACTTTAGGGGAGCTCGTATTTCTTTAGTCAGCGAACAGCAGACGTATTTCGGGTCTTCGCTTCTCTCCCTCTGAAAGTTCGTGAAAGCACAACCGGTGAGTCATTTAGTAAGGTTGTGATGGAATACAATGTTTGGTGTATCCTGGATAAAAACTATTTTTGACAGCTGATTTGAAATTTTAAAACAGACGAATTAATTAAAATGAATTAATACGTACAAGAAACTTACCATTGATTTTGAAAGTACAGTTTTTAGCATATCTCAATGAGTATTAAACTTTCAAATTCGCGAAACTCCCGATAACTGAATAAAAAATTGACTCCCCTTTCCAAGGCAAATAGTGGAATTTTATCTCGGTTTTTTCGAACTTCCAAATAACTACAATATCCGCTGTGCTTACCTGCAACACCATATACACGTACTTCTTTCTTCCTTAACTTCAAGGCACGTCTTATTGCGTCAACAGTTAAAGGATTACGAATCACTCCCAGCTCCCTCAGCTCCCTGAGGTCACCGATCTCAGCAGGTAGTTCAGTTAGTTTATTTACATTCAAGTCCAGCTCTTCAAGCTTGGTCAGCCTCTGTATGCTGGTAGGTAAACCAACCAACTGGTTGTTCCTCACACTCAGCAACCTCAGCTCCCTGAGGTCACCAATCTCAGCAGGTAGTTCAGTAAGTTTATTTTCACTCAAGGAAAACCATTCAAGCTTGGTCAGCCTCTGTATACTGGTAGGTAAACCAACCAACTGGTTGTTCCTCACGCTCAGCTCCCTCAGCGCCCTGAGGTCACTAATCTCAGCAGGTAGTTCAGTTAGTTTATTTCCTCTCAAGTACAGCCATTCAAGCTTGGTCAGCCTCTGTATACTGGTAGGTAAACCAACCAACTGGTTGTTCATCACCGACAGCACCCTCAGCTCCCTGAGGTCACCAATCTCAGCAGGTAGTTCAGTTAGTTTATTTACATTCAAGTCCAGCTCTTCAAGCTTGGTCAGCCTCTGTATACTGGTAGGTAAACCAACCAACTGGTTGTTACTCACAGTCAGCTCTCTCAGCTCCCTGGGGTCACCAATCTCAGCAGGTAGTTCAGTTAGTTTATTTCCATGCAAGTACAGCCATTCAAGCTTGGTCAGCCTCTGTATACTGGTAGGTAAACCAACCAACTGGTTGTTCCTCACACTCAGCCACCTGAGCTCCCTGAGGTCACCGATCTCAGCAGGTAGTTCAGTTAGTTTGTTTCCATCCAAGTGCAGCCTTTCAAGTTTGGTCAGCCTCTGTATACTGGTAGGTAAACCAGCCAACTGGTTGCCACCCACCCACAGCATCCTCAGCTCCCTGAGGTCACTAATCTCAGCAGGTAGTTCAGTTAGTTTATTTCCATCCAAGTGCAGCCTTTCAAGCTTGGTCAGCCTCTGTATACTGGTAGGTAAACCAGCCAACTGGTTGCCACCCACGCACAGAACCCTCAGCTCCCTGAGGTCACTAATCTCAGCAGGTAGTTCAGTTAGTTTATTTCCTCTCAAGTCCAGCCATTCAAGCTTGGTCAGCCTCTGTATACTGGTAGGTAAACCAACCAACTGGTTTTTCCACACACTCAGCACCCTCAGCTCCCTGAGGTCACTAATCTCAGCGGGTAGTTCAGTTAGTTTATTTACATACAAGTCCAGCTTTTCAAGCTTGGTCAGCCTCTGTATACTGGTAGGTAAACCAACCAATTTCCACACACTCAGCACCCTCAGCTCCCTGAGGTCACTAATCTCAGCGGGTAGTTCAGTTAGTTTATTTACATACAAGTCCAGCTTTTCAAGCTTGGTCAGCCTCTGTATACTGGTAGGTAAACCAACCAACCGGTTGTTCATCACCAACAGCACCCTCAGCTCCCCGAGGTCACCGATCTCAGCAGGTAGTTCAGTTAGTTCATTTCCACCCAAGTGCAGCCATTCAAGCTTGGTCAGCCTCTGTATACTGGAAGGTAACTCAACCAACTGGTTGTCATTCACACTCAGCTCCCTCAGCTCCCTGAGGTCACAAATCTCAGCAGGTAGTTCAGTGATTTTGTTGCCATTCAATTTGAGCACAATAAGATTTTTCAGCTTGCTTATACTTGCTGGTAATTCAATCAAGTTATTATTTTCCAGCCCAAGTTTCTCTATTTCACTCAGTTCAGTGACTGCATCGGGTACCCTGGATAGTCCTTGCTCTTTCAGATTCAAAACTGCTAATCCATCTTCATATTCTAAGCAAACTCCAAATTTTGTATTGGAATAATGTTGCATGTTTCAAATTGTTAATAAAAAGTCTCGACAGTTCTTCTTACCATCTAGAAATAACAAATAGTAACCTAGTATAGAAAAATCAAAATCATATCATCAATAGGTGAATTTTACAGAATTAAAATAAAAGAAATCTAGAACAGATGCTGTTAGTGCATTCAAAAAATCTTTTATTAGTAGACTAGGGTATCTAAAAGATAGTAATGCTGTGGCACATTCTGTTGATAACGTCATTAGTTGGGCAGTGATCCATCTGCTGGCATGGGACTTAAAAGAATCAAAAATGACAATAAACTTTCCCCTTTTCTTGCTGTAATATAAAGCTCAAGGATTTCTTTTCTGCTTTTAAGTATCTCCCATTTTCTTCCAAGTCTCTGCTCTTTCTCATTTCAATTCAGTCTAAACTATTGTTGATGACCACCAAAAATGTAAAGATTGAGTCAGGTCATCTTAGCGAGGTGGTCACTTACTGAATCAAACAACAGTGGGTCCCTTTCTAGAAGATTGAGATCCCAACACATCTACATTTTGGAACAGAAATCATCGCATGCAATTTCTAATCTGCAATATGTGTATAGTTTCATGGTGTCACTAAAAGATTTTCACATACTTTGAGTAGTGTACTACATACAACAAACAACAAAAAAATAACTGACCATGATACAAGGAAAACAAATGATGTCATTATTGTGTACTGCTCAGACTGTTTGGAATAAAGGCATTAAGAAACATTGACTCCCAATTGTGGCTACGTATGGAACTTGTATTATGGGTAGGTGAACATATTTGTGATCAGGTACATGTAATATAATAATTATAATTATTACATCATAAGGTGACAAATGATTTGATTTCTGCTGATCTGGAAATAATCCCAGGAGGGGGCGGTTAATTGATTTTCAGTGGCAGGCAATGGGGATACCTATTTGTCGGATTTACTCTTATTTGAGGGGGAAACACTTATTTGAAGGGGTCGCTTATTTCACATTTTAGTATTTCAGCCTCAAGATAGCATTTGTCTTTCTTTCACACAGACAAAAAAACCTAGGCAATGAAACTACAACATATTTTTCAAATTAGACAAATTATCACAGGTGGTTTATAATGATATGAAGTCAAGGATGAATAAGGAATTATGGAGCCAAAAAATCAAACGTGTATTAGACCAAATAGGGCTAGGATACCTCTGGACAAAAGCACATGAAAATGACATGGGAATCTTGAACATTATCAAACAAAGACTGAAAGACATCGAATTACAAAGATGGTTAATTAAGTGACGTAAACATGACGTAAGAAAAGACGCCAACCAAAAGAACAAACATAGAACCTTCCGAAAATTTAAAACGATAGAAAATTATAAATGTGAAGATTATCTCCGTCAGGTCACCAACATCCAACACCGGATAACTCTAACTAAACTCCGTCTAAGTAATCACAAATTGGCGACAGAGACAGGATCTGTCCTATCTGTAAAAAAGAGGTAGAAGATGAAATACACTTTTTAACTCTGTGCCCTGCATATCAAGAAAAAAGAAGTACTTTATTTGAATACTTAAACAAAGAACACAGAATATCAGTAAACAGAATGGCACCAGATGATGTTTTCCTGTTGTTAATAAACCCCCCGAGCAAGAACAAACCAGTGCAAAAGTTCATTGCAAAATACGTATTCGACTGCTATGAGAAGAGAAGATCATTAGTTCTTTAGGTTAACATTGATTATAGTTCCACTAGTGTGCAATTTGTGTTATGATTTTAAATTATTTGGAAAAAGTCGATGTTCATAGGACTGTATAAGACTCCAAATAAAGCATTGTCTTGTCTTGTCTTTTTCAATAAATACCCAAGTGACGTGTTATGATCATGTCCTTAGCTTGGAACTTTCCATTAAAACTATCCTCAAGCACATATTCAGAGGAGCTGAGTCATTAACATCTGATCGTGTGATGTCCCCAAATAAGTTATTCTCTTGTGACTGTAACTTTTATGCTACCCTTTTGAAAGATAAAAGTCCAGTATACCATGTTTTTAGTAAGACAGGGTGTTAAAGGTGGTCGCTTATATGAAGCGGAGGGCCGGAAGCTTTAACGAACACTGTCCCATTACTGCGCATGTACCAAACCTAGATTTTCTCTCAAGATGTTCATGAGAATTCAAAAGATCCACATAGTGTTATAGAACCTTTAAAAATCTTTGCATCATGCTTGGTTGAGTTTCACCACTAAACCTTCTCAAAACTACAGATCAATGTTCCCGTTAACTTTTGATTTTAGTGAAATTGAGAGTTTTTAGCATTGCTTTCATTTAGAGATCATACAAGAAAGAAACAGATGAGACATGGATGTCACTAAAAAGACCTTGCAACGACATGTTAGTAAAATTAAAAAACCTCCTTAACAAATATGACCAACTAAATTAACCAAACAGCTGGCCCTCGATGTATAGAAAAACAAGTGCAATGAAATCATAATAAATTATTATGTTTGACTGACTTCTGCGACGGTGTATGACATTAATTTTGCAGACTGCAGACCACAGATTGCAGATTGTAAATTAAATGACACCAAAAATCTTCCTAATAAAGGTGACATCATCAAAAATATAACATCGTGTGAAAGTGAGAAAGTAGCCTGGGAACAAGGTTGGCTATTCTTCACCAACCTTTTATCAACTCACCCGGGTATATCACTAATTGAGTTGATTCCTTATTCTTCTTTGATTATTGTGAATTGATAATGACAAGTAGCAATGCCCACTAATGCCTGTCTAAATAGTAGTCTTCTGTAAAAAAAAGTTTTTAGATTGCAACCACTTTATGCTCACTACAGTTATGTCGACAAAAACAACTAGGATAGATCAAGAACATTTAACACCTTTTAAATAACATATTTCATCTTAGCAGTATTTAGGGATATACCAAATAATCTAAAACAAAGAGATCCTACCTGAACTCGATGAATTACCAGAAGTGCATTTTGAATTTCTAAACAGGCAAATCATTACTCATACTCAAGTCCTAGTACACAGGTGGGGCCCCCATTCCAGCGCTGTTTCACAGACATACTTATATAACCATGGTTGAGTTTTGTCTGTGGTGTAGGCTAAATTGCTAGACTGTTGCTATGGATTCATGAGCAAGTTTGTGACATCAGCAGACATTATTCTGCTCTAATTCAATACAAAAAGAACAGCCAACAGCTCTTTTAGGAATGAGGTTGGTGTAATTTGAGTGAAAATTATAAACTTCCCTTCTAGACCTTACTTCTCGGAACAAGGTAATGTTGATGATGACGCCACCTTTATTACGATATTTTTGGTTTCATTCAATTAACAGTCTTGCTGCCTCATGCAGTCTGCAGTCTGCAGTCTGCGGTCTGTGGTCTGCGGCCTGTAGTCTGCAGTCTGCAAATGTCATACACCGTTTTTGCGATGCTTTCATCATGTAAAGATTGCACTTTTATTTACACCCTTTGAGCGTTTGAGTCTAGAACACGAGCAAATATTACTGGACTTATTTTGAGCTTTCCATAAGTTGAGGTCTGAGTCCACAATTAAGTTTCACAGAGGAAAAGTGGTAAAGCAAGCAGAACAAGCTTTCAAGGTCGCAATGCAGCCGAGCGAGTGAAAGAATCACAATAAATCTTTTTGTGCCATCAGCCAGTTATTAAATAAAATGAAAGACTTTGTCAAAAGTGGAAAATATTACTTCAGATATGTAAACAAAGGAACTCTGTCAGAGATGAAGTTGCAAGAAAATCTTGTTGGATCTGAGTGTGACAGTTTTGTTGTTGTTTCAAGAAAAAAACACATGATGTTTGTGTGTGCACATAATCATGATAGTGTCTCTTTAGTATTTATTTTAATATTTGAAGCCTAAAAGAGTGGTACTAATTTGAATGGGGAGCCTATTTGAGGGGCGGAGGGTGGAGAAGGGGGTTAATTTGAGCATTAATAGGGTAATTATTAGTGCCTTGGGGCTGTGTATCTTAAGCAATGCATTGATGTCTTGATTATTGTTTTTCTTGCCCAACTTCCCTTTTGTTGTAGTGAATTCTCGAGACTCAGCAATTCAGCAGGGGAATTTTGAGAGTTAATTTTTGGTCCAGAGATTCTTTCAGGTGTTGTTGGAAGCCCATTTGATTTTTGCTCTTATATTCCACTGACCTTAAATCTATATGGTACCCCCTTGGGCAATAAGATCATTATTTACCCCTGTAGCCTAGCTCTTTCTCCTGGGTAACACAGAGCAGGTAATCTAAGATCTCTGATACACTTCCACTTCTTCCTCAACAGGCTCTTTGCATGACTTGATCATGTGATCAACTTTTGGTAAACACCAAAACAGTTCACTTTTGAAACATTTTGTTAGCACAAGCTGAAAGAGCATACATGTATTGAAATTAGGTATCCTAAGAATTTTCAGCCGTATATCTCAAAAGTAGCGATTGCAACGGCCACCGAGAGTTAGAAGCATTTGTATGAGAAAAACAACTTTTGCCATCCAGCCACGCTTGCGTGGTTTTTCATACAAATCCTTGTAAATTCTGACATTTTTAAACTGTCATTATATCTTTCCCTTACACATTTAAGAGCTCAAATTGCCTGTTGTGAATTAAAAGGAGATTTGAGCCCTTTAAGAGTGATTTTCTGTAAAATTCGAAATTCGGCCCGACATGGTACCTTATCAATTTGGCTGATTTTTGGCATGTATTCTTAGAATAGTGTCCTAAATACTGAATGCATATTCTAAGGTTCAAATTCTCTTTGGTTTCAAAGATACAGACATGACAGCTTTGACGAGGCCTCGAGGGGCCGCCATGTTGGTAAACTGAATGAGGTTTACAGTAATTAATTCTAGCATTATCATTAAAATAACTTAATCATGACTCATACAGTTGCGAAGAACTATCCTTCTTCCTTTCTTTTACCTGATACTCTTATCTGAAAATGGTTAAGCCTGAGCTATGAATGGCTATAACTTCTCGCAGCACTTTTTCGGT